CTACTACCGAAGGTGAGTTTTGTTGTCTACATTCTGAAAATAATGATAATATATATATGTCTTAATACTGATATTTGACCAGCAAAGTAAGTGCTCATGCATATTTCCTCATGCATAAGTATGCAAAATGATTTTTCAAAGTTATTTTTCATTCAGGAGTTCAAATTAATTTCAAATCTACTGCGGAGTACCAGTTTTATTGTTTATCATTCACTAAAATAACACTTGTATTTATATTTGTTTGTTGTTTCAATGGAATCAGTTTACATTGAATCATAACTACAAGCAGAAAAATAGATGTATAATATTATGGTTATCACGAGAATACAGAAAAGTGTGCAGTAAGGCAGTACATGGTCGCATCGACATCCGACACGCGCCGGTCAGTTCGATCATAGTACTGCCTTCCTGCATACTTTGAAATATTCTCATGATTACTTATCTTACTCGAACGTTCCGGCGGTGTATGAATTATATGTTAACGATGCACACAATAAAATCGGGAGCGTTGGATGATATTCAATGTGAGTGAATTAATACGAGTAATTCAGAAACCTTAGCATTGTCATTCGGGATGTAAATTGATTGCACAAACAAGTCAATCACATAGTTTTCTCTTATACATTTTGCTGAAAGTTTGATTCTACTAGAATATAATCATGTGATAAATTCGCTCTTTAATACCAGGCGCCGTGATCTTGGCTTGAATATTGTCAAAAAGCCTTTCCTTGTTTGACAATTGGGTACAATGTATACATTTCACTGAACACAAAATTATAAGTGTTGAATCACATAGCAGTTAAATTAAAATCGAGTAAATGCATTCTCTAAATGCTTTCAGGTTTAGAAAAGTTCGTTTACAGGTCAGGTCTTATAAAGAATATAACTTAAATATGCAACGTTTCTGAAAACAATAATTGTGTGAAATGTTTCTGCAGATATCGTGACGGATACAGAAGAAACCACACAAACAGCAATTAAAGAAATTAGTATTACTGGTGAGTAACAAATAATTAGGTTATTAATGCATGATGCATTTCCCATGTCATAATGGTACATGTACCGTCATTTTACGTTCATATTAAAATTCAAAAATAAATGAAGTAGCTTCTATCTTGAATATAAAAATCACCAAGGCTTTTGTAAAAGTCGAATTACTTTCATCGTATTAAACAGTGATCTCTTGTCGAAGGCAATTTCGTTGTTAATAGTCAATATTTTATATGAAGTGCATTGATATCCACTGACCTATATTTGTCAGTTATACATTTTTGAATGCACCTGCTTAAAACTCCAAAATAAAATCAGATTCATTCATGTTATATTTAAGATTTAAAAGCTGAAGATGAAACTACGATGAGAATTTCAAGTACAGCACCACAAATACTTGATGTGGAAAGAACAGGTATGTTTGCTACTATAATTCAGTGTGGCATCGCATGTTTATCTAAAATTTCATTATCATTATTATACTCTCGACAACTATTCTCAAATATTTTTTTTTTCAGGTTTGAAAACAGAAGTTCAAAGAGTGTCTACTTTATCTACTCCCATGATCGGTAAATCAACTGCAAAAGGTTCGTGCTTTAAGTTAAAATTCCGCAAGACATATATCTCGACCCAATAGGTATCTCGACCAAATAAACTGTCAAAATAAATTTGAACAATCTTCTAAGAGCTTATTATGAGTGCTTTATCCAACCATAGTGACATTATCCCTTCGCGATAATGTACTCGGACGTTGTGACCTTGACGCCTGCAGTCACTGGACATGTGCTGAACTGATAAAGATCTGGTGTGCTATATATTGTTTTCGACGGGATTAAAAATAGAGGGCGACAACACGTTCTAACATAATAATTATGTAACTGTGCAATGAGTAGTACAATTACATTAAATGAAATTACTGCGATTGACGAGACAAATTGCGTCGTTCACAAATCGAAAGGGTGGTAGGACATTATAATTATCAAAGCAAGAAGGTAGTCAACTTAATTATGTGTTCCTTGTAAAGAAGAGAGTATGACAGAACCCCACACCCTCCCTGTGGCTTTCGTTGCGTATGGAAGTTATTTTCACGAGTGATGCGGTGTATCCTGTGGCCCTACTTTCACGAGCGAAGCCTAATTTAGACATGCTTTAGACATATAAATGCCCCCTTCTCATACCTTGGGGTTAGAACACCGCAAGCATGTATGTCATCACACATCGCCATGTTGTGATGCATTACAGTGCTCTCTTGTTGGTAAACTAGTTTCAAATTTCTTTACGGACTTAATGTTCATACTCCTCTATGAGCATTATGTTATAAATCCACCAACAAACACATACATTTATAATTAATTGTTTGCTCATAGTAGAAAAACAAAGCAAATGTACATACATCTTCAGAAAACTTCAAATAAATCCATATCATCACACTTTAATGCTTAATTAAATGAAATGCAATCCAATTTTTGGCCGCCTAGTGGTGAAACATTAATTACAATGCACATTCATCTATTAATGAGATTCAAATAAAGGCCTTAGAAAATTTATGAAACAAGGACAGGTTTTGGCCACGTCTTCAATTATCAGTGTCTCAAAAACATATACTATATTGCACACACGGGATCAACGTCATGGTTACAGAACATGCTGGATAGCATCTTGGCCTAAGACCATATGGTAAGTAATTGCAAGCACAAATGTAATGTATATACAATTAAAAACCAATGTCTTTAAACACCACCGAAACTCTTTTTATTTGCACGACCAAGAGAATAGGTCGCGATAACAGTCATCAACTGATTAGCATGTGTGTGAACATTTGTGACTATTTGTAGTGTAGTGTTTCTACTATAGTGTTGGAGGTTCCTAATATAGGAAATCGAAAAGGATTACAGGCTCAGATAGCTACAAAGGACGTGCTGTTTCAATAATAATAGTCTGGTACACATATAATTACTGGTAACTACTGAATACATTTTGCCATGTCATTTAATTACACCATATAAAACTACAAGTATGCCACACTGTTCTAGGTCTTCTTTGTAACGTCTACATGTGTCACGCCTGGTGCAAAATTCTGCCATTCCGGTTTAGCTGCGAGTGTTCTACATATCATGACATATCAAATAGGCCATTGGAATTCTTCGATATCTTTTTGTTCTTAACTGATCTTTGAGCGATAATGAGTATGGTTGTTTTGTGAATATGTTTAACAACTAGAACATGCAATTATGACTATATAAATTACGAGAGAATTGTTCGTTTATCTGTACTCTGTCCTTATATTTCACAACACAAGCGACGCATTCTAGCATTGCGAAAACATCTAATCCACTAGCTGTATCTTTAGTACAAGAGGTTACATTTACAGGTTACATGCTGACTTGTTGTATGGTGTTAAACTTGTAAATTTGTATGAGTGGCTACGAATATGAATATAGTCTGATTATTACATTGGCAATGTTAATTCAACGACTTCATTGCAAGTTTATTAGCACTCCCAAAGCAAAAGCGTGTTAAAAGTCACATTGTTTGTTTGATTGTTGAAATCAACTTTGTCAGATTTCACAACTGAAGCTTTGTATTCCAACGTTTCCAAAACATCAATACAGTCAACTATTCCGTTTACATAAAAAGACACATTCACCGCTTCATATGTTTTTTAATTTGGATACCATTAAAAATCCAAACGGAGCTTATTATCGATGGAGATAATTTCTAATAATCATTATGAATTGTTTGATTATTTGTCTACATACTAACATATTTATTGACGATAGATGGTTTAATAGCGACTGCTGACAGAACTTCTACTACAGGTGGGTGTAGTGATCAGGTAAGGGAAATGCAAACGTTGTCTTATTTTTGTTCAATCAGGCACTCAGTACTTAAGAAATGAGCATTGCAGACACAACACATAATATTGAAGGTGCGATTGTTTGGTACTATAATCCAGTACGAAGACTATAACATGCGAATTAAAATATATCATTTCATTGTTGTTGAAAACTGCCTTAAACTGTTTATTCTTTTCCAGATTATAAAACTGAAGCTTCAAGTATAGCAGTGGCTGATAGGCCAACAATATTACTCACATCACAATTTGATGAAGCTACTACTACATGCCAGTTGTTGAATCAACATGTATTTAATGAGACTTATTTGATTATAAATATATTAAAAACAAAACATGCAAACATGCATTCAGAAAGCGAGTTTGGGTTTTGAATGCTCATTCATTGTCCTTCAAATGTATGCAACGTATACGACCAAATAATGGATATTGTGTGTTCATGTTTTTTCTTCATTTTGAATGACTCATCTACTTGAAGAAACAAATGGTATTTATGATTAGATGAATTATAACTGAGTATTTATTTTTACGCCAAGAGAATAATATTTCCTAGACAAGGCAAATTATCTCAATTGTTAAAATTACCTTATTTCTTTACATTTTACAACTCAAGCTATACAATCATCTGCACAGCCAACATTAATTAAAAACGCCGCCTTTACTTGTATGGTTATGTGGCGAATACTGTCTGTCTCGAAATTGTACAACTTGAAAAAACAACTGTTCATATTGTCATTATAATCTAAATAAAGCTATATAGGCATATATCTAATTTCACTGCATTTGCATGATGATATACACGGCTTTATTTTATAACAGTTTTGGCAATGCTAGAATGCGTCGCTTGAGTTGTGAAATCTAAGGAAAGCGTACAAACGAACAAGTCTCTATTAATTTATATAGTCATAGTAATGATTGCATGTTCCAGTTGTTAAACATATTCACAGAATATCCATACTCATGATCAGTCAAAGATCAGTTAAGTACAAAACAAGTGTCGAAGAATTCCAACTGAGTCAAAGGCATATTTGATATGTTGATATGTCTTGATGTATAGAACACTAACAGCTCAACTGGGATGGAACAATTTTTTGCCAGGTGTGGAAAAGTATACGCTACAATGAGGACCTAGAACAGTGTTGCAGACATGTGGTTTTATATGATGCAATTAAATGACATGAATGAGAAATTGAAAAATAATAGATACCTTAAATATATTATTAAAAAAAACAAATAATGACGATAATCACTCACTATAATGTGCGTATTAAAATGAATGCTCTAAACTTAAACCACGATTATTGTCGTTTTTCTTTTTTGAATATGCTTGATTTATTTTTTTAAATTAAATTGCCTAATATGTTTTTTTTTTTCCAGAAGCTGAAGCTTCAAGTCTGGCGGCAACTGGTGTGTCGACAACAGTACCCACTCCATCAGTCGACAGGACTACTGCAAATAGTTAGTTGTTTAATACAAATTTCTGATTAACTAATATTACCACATATTAGAAGAGTTTTCATGATTACAAAACAATTATGTGTCACATCTTCCTGAATGCACAAACTTAAGAATTTTACTAGCAATACAACACAATGAATTGGTTTCTTTCAAATATTTAAACCCTTTCAAAATTGTCTGAACTATTGTTCTAAGAACCTAAATATATATTTATAGAGACCTGGTTTCTTTTGGATTCTGCAATTAGGGCTATCACAAACATGCTTTCTGTCATAATTGTAATTTATCTCAGATTTTCATTATTCCAAGTTATTGAAACTTATTTCATTTTACACATCTGATCGACAATTGGTTGTTATTATGTCATTAGGTTCTACCACAAGTAGAAAGACTACATATGTAGTTGAAATGAAGTCTATTATTCCACATATAGGTGTTACCACTGAAGAATTGCAATCTACACTCAAGGAAATAACTCTTCAAGGTAGGTCATATCAATTGCTCTAATGTTATTGGGTACCTTCTTTTAAACTAACCGAAAGTTACAACCTATGTAAATGTATCTGGAAATATGATATTCCAATCAATCAATCAATCAATCAATCAATACATACACATTTTTTTAATAAATCAAAAACCTTATTATTGCTTGACCAAGATAGATCGGTCGCGAAACACAAATATGTTGACTATGCACAACCAACAGTACTAAATTGATTGTCGTTTGTGTGAACATTTATTCTACTGTATTATTTGAAGATTTCAGACGTGTAAAATCAACATTTGCACTAATAATAACACTAAACATTTTAGTCTTGTACAATTCCATTTGAATCAGTTGTATTCAAAGTAGTGTGCTAGCAAATTAACATCACTAGCAAGTATATTTAAATAATTGCAAAGAGAGCATAGAAGCACATTTCAATGCACCTGATACAATTCAATTCATTCGGTTCTGACATTGAATTGTATATATTCCTCAGACCTATTTGCTGAATAAAGACACAGATAAGTAATACATTTTGAGTAGGAGGTTAGAAACCATAGTTTAAATAAAAACATTATCACAATGCATCGTATATGACGTTATATATTTCACTACGTCGATAGTCAATAAAATTTATTATTGTAATTTGTCAGTTTTTTGGAGGCGTTTTCCTAACGTTTTGTGCGTTTTCATACTTTTTTCTTATCTTTACAAATTGCCGGTCGTCGTAGTGATTAAATTGTACAATAGAACGTCGATTAATATGATTACTCGTCGCGGAATTCAAGCTGTATTGCGCCACTCGTGTTACTGGGAGATTCGTTGCTTCTTTCATGAATTCTACTTTTTTTACCTATTTTGTTTGTCATGTTTTTTTCTCAAATCAACTATTTCCGTGTATAGGTGTTAACAATAAATAAAAAGCGCTCAATCTGTCTTAAATATTCAACAGTTGGCCCAGTATGTTATAGATTAGTGTTATTGATGCACCAAGTTAGGTTAAATATTGAAATACTTAATGTCCCATTTTACGCTACTTGTTGAATCGATGTTGCCAAGATAGTTTTGTGCTATATAAGAAAACGAGCGAGGGGCAAACCCCTCCTCACTATACTGCCAGAATGAGTTGGTATAATTTTGTGCGTACTGCTATGACTTCAGTGGCGATGCGCTACGCCTGCTTTGGGGTTGTTTCGAGAACGAATGCAATTACTTTTTATAGCCCTCTCACAAACTAAAAGATGCAACAATTGTTATGATCAGATAAATTAAAAGAAAATAGTTAATTTATCAATAGTCCCAACGGCGCAATACGAGTATAAAAAGTAATGTATCATTTTTATTTTTGAATTTAACTATTTTTCAGATTTCACAGCTGAAGCAATACATTTCAGCACTGCCAAAACATCCGCTCAGCCAACGACTGCATTATTAGAAGAGGCTACAGTAACAGGTAATGTCAAATAAAACTATCAATTACCTGAAAAAGTTGTAATCATCCAAAGTAGATGTACAACTCAGAGCAATAAGATTACCAATAATTTTTCGTGTCGTCTGCTTTAGAATTAATTTTCATATTATAAATTACTATTTGGTGTCCAAACGTTATTATTATATCGTAAATTAGTGGTTATTGAGTGATTTGTTAACGTTTGAACGGTCACTGGTAGCATAGTGGTTGTCGCTCCAGACTCATGATCGGTAGACCCAAGTTCAAATCCTACCTTAGGCTGAACATCAAAGCGTCAACCCCTACCCTGGGTGAGTGTGCCACAGACTCAATGGGAAGGCCAATTCCACTGGCCGAGATTCATTCACTAACGAATGCGACTTTGGGGGAAGCTTTGTTAAGCTCCGCAGATGCTTGTGTTCGACCGAGCCAGGATAGCGCATTAAAATTGCCTTTTGACAGAGAGATGGCCACACAGCCCAGTCATGTAGTCCCAAACATGAATATGACTTCTGTGGCAATTTGCACATACAAAACAAAATCAGGAGAGACAACGGTGCCATTCAATGTCCAGAACTGTCGCCTGGCACAAAAATATTTAAAAAATAAAATATTGAAATATAGAAAAGATTTGAAAAAGTCATAGAAACTAGGCGCACTGGTAGTAATTCATTGCTAAATTTAATATTATATTTCAAATATTTACCAATATACTTAAAGGGTTGTTATCATTATTATCACATATTTGACAACATGTATGTAGTACATTCAGAACTTATATTTGATTTGATGAAAAATGTACAGCAACAAATTGAAAGATTCCAAACTAGCTGTACAACTCAAATTAATTTTCCTGTTTATAAATTTAATTTTTGGTGTCCAAACATCATTATTGTATTGCAAATTACTGGTTATTGAGTGAGTTGTTAACATTTTAATATACAATATATATACAATATATATAAATGTTATAATGTTATTTGAATAAGTCATATAAATTACTGTTTTACTGGTAGTAATTGATTGTTAAATTGAGTAATATTTTACCAATATTTCAGTATACTTATTACGTAGGGAAATTATTTCCACATATTTTGTAAACATGTAGTACATTCAGTACGGCGCGCCAATGGATATTTGATTTTCATGTTTTACAGAAGTTGTTT